GACAAAGAGGAAAATTTTGTTGTTCGACGATGGCGGCATGGTGCGACGACGCAACTTTTTACTTCATCGCGCTCGTGGAGCAATTCCCCCTCTGTGGGACAATAGATGCATGCCCTTTTCGGTTCACTTAGGTCCTCCTCGTCCTCAATAGTCAACGCCAGGGCCACCGCGGCCAAAAGTCGCTTTCGTTCAACCTCCGTCTTGGCTCCTTATAAATAGCCTCAAAGCAGCTCGTTGCATGCGTTTGGCGGAGTTGTGAGGTCGAGGGTTAGACCGGCCCGTTCACTCTGTCGTCTGCTCTTTTGGCCCGCCGTGTGGATGCTCCTTGCAGCCGGGCGGCCCGCGGGCCGCGCATCACGTGATCAATCGGTCCGCGGCCCGGTCCGTCGTGTGGATACACCTTTAGAGCAACATGCTCATGCTTATACCTTCGGCTTCACTTGCGCACAAGGTGGAACGATTGCATTTATATTTTATAGCTTAATATATTTTCGGGTGTGTGCCTACTCTTTTGTGTTTATTATTGTCGCCTTCGTTTTTACTACCTCTACAATCACGCTCCCTTTTACTCTCTTGGTGTTAACGCTTAGGTTTTTTTGTCTTACTAGTACTATGAACATCCACTTGTGGGGCTACGCAAGCAAATTTTTCGAACCCGCTCAAAACGCTCTTACGCTAAAGAAAAACGCTCTACTAAAACGCGATTTTTGACCTCCGCTTTCCATTCCGGCGAAGCGGGCCGCGCATGTGCAGTTTGGCACCCTCAGAGCGGAGCGGAAGATGAAAACGGTCTACTAAAACTCTCTATTGCTTGTCAAAGTTTATCGTAATAAATGAACCTTTCGCTCATAAAAATAAAAAAAATCGTCTCTGTTGGCCTCATCTTGGCCAAGGACGTCTCTTTGCGCAAAAACACTGAGCGCAATTAAAAGTAAACCGGATCTGCCAACACTTGGTTGCGAGCGACACTCAGCTGTGCCTACGTATCCGCTCTACAATTGGACTGATCTGGCCAACTTGCTTAATAGGTCGCATTTCCCATGTACACGCAGTTCCCTCTCTGATGTGGCTGCGGCCGTGTATGAACGTCACATTAACAGCCACGTGCCACTTTGCTTTTTAAGAACGACAGAGCGTGCCACTGAAAGCAGAACTTTTGTTTAACCTCAACTTTATAGCCACATCGGATCCGCAAGCTTTGAAACGACGTCATGTCTGCGCTGCGAAGTCTGTTCTTGTTGACCATTCTTGCGACGGCCTTGGCTTCTAACGCCAGTAAGTAAAAATAACTCTCAACGGTCAAGACATAATCGCAAAAAACAAACGGGGTCAAAATTCTTCAAGTTTTGAGCACCATCCGCGAGTGATTTTTTTGCTTTTATTTGTTCTGTGTCTTAGGGGCTGAGTTTTATGCAAAAAGCGTAGCGCTCCAGCTAACGAAACACCGTTGCATTCAGTCCAAGGCAACATAAAACAAACGCAGCTTATTGCATGCACTACATAGGCATATGAAGTGCACGGAAGCATACTTAGTAAATATTAGCTGCCTGGACCAAGTGGCGGCGCGGGAATTGGACCCTGGCCATGTGATCCGCAACCCGACGCCTTTGTTCGGCGCTACGGAAAGGAGGTGAACGGGAAAACAAGCGGCTGGACTGTGTACGACTCAAGGGAGCCCGCGGTAGTAGGCAACTGTCGGCGCACGCAGCTGGCTTCCGAATGACGAAGCGTAGCTCCCGGCATGGCCTTACGACATCACGAGACTGAAATAGGCTTTTAACTGGCCTCGGTATTTTCGATAAGACCCCGGAGTTTATGAGTATGCCGTGCATCTCGTGCGTGCAACGAATTCCAAACCAGGGTGTCGAACCAAAACTCTTTTCGGTTCGGTTCAGGTTAGCGTTTAACTCGTTCACAAACACTCACAAATTTCGGTTTGGTTGAGGTTCAGCTCCCGAGTGGAAAGAAATAAGGGTTCGAATCGGTCTGGGCCGGTTCATATAACCGTTCGAGGAAAAGTGAGAAATTTAACTGAATATTCGCACAAGTCTACTGCCATGAAGTGGATCACTAAGTTATAAAATAAACGCGCATTTTTCATTGATATTGTGTACTCCATCTCTCTATATAGGAATGATGATCTTCAAAAATTCAAGACCTGGCATGAGACTGGGTACCAACGTTTTATTCACCGAACACAAAACTAAATATATCTTCTGCAAGACTGGACGAGTGCCTCTCCACAATCGTTACATGCACACACCATATTAATTATACCGATGTGTACGCTCTATTTTGGCTGCCTAAAAAAACCAGAGGAAAAGGACATTATCCAGTATGTCCGGGCTCAATCGCTGTCGTTGGCATGATCAGATAAAATTAGCGCAAACGACAAGAGAAGAGAAAGGTAAGACAGGACAGGACAGAGCGCTACTCACAACTGACGTTTTAATAGAAAAGACAAGAAGGAAGTGAAGCATTTTTAAAAAATAAAAGGAAGAGGAAAACCCAACGAAAATACGCCCGCGCCCTAGGTTGTCTTTCTAAAAGAAAAAGAAAAACGCCAAAATCGTGACTACCTTGGGTTGCTGTACTAATGGCATGATAGGATGTATTTTAACCCCGAGAAGGACCTTTTCACGTTGACTTGCGTGGCCGGTATTGACAGAGCAACGAGTGCAAGTGAACATCATTCTACGCAGGGACGTTTTCTTTTCCCAAAACTCCAAGACATTGCTACATCCTAGTCACCTTTTTAAAGCCGTCCAGTAGGGTCTGGATCTCCCCAAAGATCGAAGAATGGTCGCTAAATGCTTTCAGGCAGCCACTTTCTTTTTTCATGAGGGACGCTTCGAGGTCCTTATCAGGGCATGTGGAACCCCCGTTGTTCACGGTGCTTGAGGTTGCTGTGGCTGGGCATCTTCTTTAACCCCGCGAAGCTTCCTCCACGCCAGTAGCAGATGCTACTTTACACTGGACCTCTCCTCGCTTGTTAGCGTGAGATGGCATCGAGAATCCAAAAATATAGCCGCACAAAATATGTCGCTTCCGAGCAATACCTTTTCTCCCTTTTTCATGGCAGCAGCCAGCTGATTCGCGGCCGGTGTGTAATTGTTGACGTCTCAATTCGACACATGAGCCATGGACCGTAGAAGTCCCCCGAAGTTAGACTCTCCCTTTGAAGCTGCACTGTTGCTTCCTCGACGGACGCCAGGGAGGCAACTACCATTGATTGCCAGTCTTCTTGAGCAAGGCGGTGTTCATCATCATATGCGATGAACTCGTCGCAGAACTCTCTCAGCTCCAGCAATCTTTGCATTGTGGCGCAGGTGAACATCCACCTCGTTACGCAATCCAGGATAGGTATCTTCAGATTGAGCATCCGAACTTAGGAACAACACAATCTGCAACCTCATTTTTTTTTCACAACTTTTCGGGCCTCCTGTACGATGTCACTAGCAGCTGTAGACTTGAGAGCGTCATGTACGGCGAGCTGCAGCGTGTGTGCACACCTAATTCCTTTAGACAACGTCCCCTTTTCGATAAACGGCATTTCTCTAAACTAAGGCTTCTCTTTCTCTAAACCGAGCTTCAATAAAACGAGCCCGCTCTCTAAACGCGATTCAATAAGGGAGTTCGATGGTCCGTAGTAAACCCGATTTTGATGCTGCGTTGTTGTATCAGTGGCAGCTCGATGCGCCATCTCGTCGGCGCTTGGCAGCGACTTTTTGCAGGGCGCATGGGCGCGATGACCTCGAGAGGCTCAGGCGGATTTTGTAACAGTCAGGAACAGTGGTTATTGACCCTCGTCTTTGTAAAATATGCTTACAAAAATATTTGTATTAGTGGGAACACCTTGCCCCGCAGCGCTGAGCCTCTCAAAATTTCCGGCGCACAGCGTGCGGAATAGTAGCGCGAACGCACGCCCGAACCGTTTGGCGAACTGGTTAGGAACGATTCTTTTGTTTTGCTCCGGATCAGGTTCAGCCCCAAAATGGCGCCGAACATTTCGGTTCGGGTTCTGTTTCGTTTCGGGCAAAGTGCGCGGTTCATTACGGTTACGGTTCAGCATCGGTTAAGGTTGAGTTACGGTTGCGGTTCGTCACCCTGTTCTAAACTACTAAAAGCAATCTGTAAACGAGCACAACAAATCATAACGCAAGCATAATGTATTCAGGGCACATTCTGTGCTCCCCGGTCCAATCGGAATGACCAGAACGAGTTTAATTATTTAAAACATGGAATGTTGTTTTTTATCTATTTTTTTTATTTTTTATGAAGCCCTCTCATACTAAAAGTTTGTTCTTCCATTCATACGTCCGACCGTCCCAAGTCTAGCAGAAAAATTCATGTAAGGTGACCTATAATCCAATTCAATTCCCTGCAAAATTTAGAAATGAAATTAATATCAGGCAACCTGCACTGCAATTCAGTTTCTGAATTTGACGGCACGTGGTATACACCAATAGACCGATCTCAGCAGCCTGTTTGACTACGCCACCGCTGGCGCAATGCACCCAGGGTACTTCAGTCTTCAGACACGTGCAACAACCTCGCTGTAGCTCTGGGCGCGTAGAGCGCGAGACGGCACGAGCCCTCTCGGGCACTGCCGTCCGCCTCCTGCGAAATGAAGTTATGGCGGCGTCACGCATGCACCGAACGCTTAGTTAGATCGGTCTTTTCAGTTTCGCCGCCAAGTGTAGCGATGAAGTTGACGTCAGTGACCTAATGACCAATTCATTTTCCCCCATATATTTAGCAGGAAAATTGATAAATGAGAGGCATGCTCACTCCTAGAACCGGTAGTTTAACGTTATCTAAATGAATCTACGTGATCTCTTTGGAAGCACTGCGCCCCATGCGTTTTCATAGAGCCTTTTGAAAGACCATTAAGCAGCATTGTTGGGCGCAAAGCACATGCATAGATCCGAGGGCTCGTCGAAAGCCGACGCAGGCCTCGTGCTCAATACATGCTCAGAGCAAGCAACGGCGAACACGCGATGTCGCAGACATTTGAAAAGGGTTCGTTAGAGGTGTGCGAAACGTGGTTAGAGTCGAAGAGCGCTGTGTCATTCAGAGCCTTCGCAGTGCGATAAAAACCGCTAAGTACGCGCTCTCTTTGCCGTGCTGAAGCTGGGCAGTGCACAGCTCTGATCGATTCAAACCACGATTTGCTCACCGCTAATTATACAACATTGAAAATAAAGGTCGCCGCCAATTTTATTGTTTATTCTTCTGTCTACGCAGAATGCGGCGTCCGTGGTGGGGCCCAGGGTGCCACAGGTGGAATTTCCCAGATTGTGGGCGGAGAGAAGGCAGCGCCCCTCGAGTTTCCCTGGCAGATCTCTCTTCGGATCTTCAACGTCACCGCCAACTACGAGAGAGGCCACACATGCGGCGGGTCCATCATTAACAAACAGCACGTCATGACAGCGGCCCACTGCGTGTACGTGCAAAAAAGAATTAAGGGATGGCGTTCGTGTATTTATTTGTCTTGGATCAATAATGGTTATAATAGAGAGTTTCAGAAATAGGGGGCCGCAACGCCTTTAGTCGCCCGAGCAGCTTGAGGTGTAGCACTGTGCACGCGCCGTGTGACCTCCCAAGCTGCTAATGAAACCCGAAGCCCAAAATGTTTCTAATATTACAAAGGCTTAGAAAATGCATTTTATATGACGGCAGTCGTTGTGGGTGAGGTTTCGTAACGGATCCCCGGATGTGTTTTATGTAGTGTTGCCGTGGCAAGTGACGTCAAATTGTCATATGACGCCATGCAAGGTATTACCCACTGATCTCTAGTATTGGGGGCTGGATGGCGCATTCGGCAAACAGGTATGAAGTCACCGGAAGTAAGCGGCTTGTCCCGGAAGTGAGCGCTTGGCAGGCTTTGTAACCCTTCCAAGTGCTGGTCCGAGAAGCGTCGAGGGCGCTGGATTTTTTCTTGTCACGTCAAGAGAGCCTGCTTGTTGCGTAGTAAGAGCGTATGCGGACCCGAGAAGTGTCATTGGAAGCCATTCAATGTAAACATTTTGAGATTCTAGTTGATCAAGTGTGCATATGTCCCAAGTTCAAACGCCTAATTTTCGGGATTTAATTCGGAGCATGATTATTAAAACCTACTCAGAGACACCGGAAAGTACGGACCAAAACATCGACTGAATGCACTAGGAGGCCCAGCAGACGCCTAACTTCCGGGATAAGCATCGAACTTCCGGTGGCTTCACTTCCGCCCTGCTCGGAGAGCGGCTCTGCGCCATCCAGCCCCCTATAATAGAGATATGTGGTATCACCGGTAGTGACGTATCAAGACCATGTCACGTTACGTCGTGATGTCAAGTAACGTTAAAATATGACGTGACTTTATGGTGTTACGTGGCTTCACACTGTGCAAGACCGTTACGCTTAGCTGAATAATTTGTCCGCTTCAATGGTACCAGCTCTAGTGCAGTGCGACATCACAGCTAGAATGTTTATTGGGGTAGCAGTGCTTACACAAAGTAACACCAGAGTCCTTCAATATCCTACTGGTCACGAAACTTTGGCCAAAGTTTGGTGCACATTATAAAAAAATGTATTCACACTGTACTGAAAAATAAATCAGACCGCGTAATTCGGGAAGTGTCGATAGCTGCGGCAAGGGGTGCTGCTCTCCCTTGAGGCAGCTACAGAGCCGACGTCGTTTACATTAACAAGAAACGCTATGAGTGCGATGACATACTATCTCGACGTAAATCTCCCTCGTTCAGAATGGTTCGAAATTCCGACACACCTGTGGGTGGCAAGACTCCCACCAGTGCAGGTTAGATTGGCAGCCCCCTTGCCTACGCTAGCGCCGCGCGGTCGCGTACCAAGCCCTTTCATAGCGGTAAAGAGAAGTTTTGTGACCAGTAGCGTATTGGAGGACTCTGACAATACACACCGGTACAATGCTGCAAGATTCAGTTTTGTGCCGCGTTTTCAAGCATGTTTAATCTCTTTGGCACTGGCTGCTGTAGAAGGCTATAAACAACCTTAATGTTGTAAAACGCTGTTCTTTACTTAATTCAGAACAGCTGCAACTCTAACCGCTTTACATTGAGTGCAGGAAAAGTATGCTCTGGAATAATAAGTATCGTTTTGAACAAACAAATAGTCAAAAAGCGCTCCCAGTTGAATCCTAAATATGGTGCGCATGCTTCACGCTTTGTAGGGAAGGCAGAACACCAGCAGAATTCATCGTTGTGGTCGGTGACCAAAATCTCCAAGTTCAAGATCCCACGGAAGAAAAGATTGGTGTGCAGAAAGCAAGTAAAACCATACTTGAAAACTCTAAAGGCATGGTTTATAAATTTTCGTTTGGGTGTAGCCTATTTCGCAGTGTCCGCTCTTGTCCGATTGCGATGAGAGACTACGCTTTCAAAATGGTACCATCTGTAAGGTAGCCCTGGAACAATGACAATCTGCGTATGGATTTTTCCAATTCCTTCAATACGTAATCTTTCATCGCGGGCTTCAAACAATTTTGACAATATTAGGAACGACCATTTGATCTCTATATTACGTAGGCTGTATTTCCCAAGCACTGCAAAGCCTTCGGTCTACTTAAACGCAGATCGGTAGCGTTCAAGGGCAACCTGTGAGACGGCGCTAGTGTGCGAGTGTTCTCTCGTCGCAGGCGGTCACAGGGTGGGCGAAACGCACTTCGTTACACTCAAACGCACGTGTGTGAACCAGCCTTAAGCGTCTAACATATTCTCTTTATGTCATCCCCCCAACTAAACGTTAAAAAGAACGTAAAAGAACAAAAAATGCATGTGAAAAAAAAAAAACATAATTAAATCATATTTCAATATAATTGATATTAGGGGCGAAGCTCCTTAGGGTCTAGCCTTGTCCGTCCGTTCGTCCGGCCGGGATCCGTGCTCACATAAAGAGAAAAAACGTTTGCGCAGTCGACAGGATTCGAACCTGTGCGGGAAGACCCCAATGGATTTCTAGTCCATCGCCTTAACCACTCGGCCACGACTGCGGGGCGAGTGAGGGGCTCTGAGATGTGGTAGTAACTCAAGAGCTGGGGATGTCATGGATGAAACGTTGCATGTAGCCGCTCAACGTCTATACTAAAGAGGGCGCTGCGGTCAAATGCGTATATAATCACGTTAAATTTTGCATGCATTGGCTCAACGTTTATAGACGAGAGGGCGCTGCGGTCAAAGGCTCAAATGCGTATATAACCAAGTTCCATACCGCACATTCTCTTTCTGACATAGGCCGTTGACTTAAGCGGTGGAGATGCGTTCCCACAGCTTCTAGTGGATCCAAGCTGATCCGCTAGAAGAACCACTGACTCTGCATTTCGCCGACCATAAAGCAGTAATAATGAAGTCGAAACGCAACCCGGAACTTAATATGAGCAATAAAAAAATCAGCACCGTCAGCACTATCTATGAACAATAAAATCAGTATCATCAGCACCACCAGAGCTTCGCCCCAATCAACACCATTCACAACGTGAAGATACGGTCATTTTTTTCTGTATTTCTAACGCAAACATTTTTCATATACATTTTGCAGCCCCACAGCCAAGTTCGCAGAAGCCAAAATTTGTTTTCACATTAAACTGTGTTACTCCCTTGGGAGTGTTGTTCAACTTGAACCTGGATTAACACCCAAAGGAGGTTACGGCAGCACCCTTAGGATACTGGTGGACACTCGAAGAATGGGAAGCTGATGATCTCAGCAGTATTCTAGGGATAGTTTTTTGGGGGGTAATCAGTACTTCTACCAGCATTAACCACCCCATGGAGATCTCGCATGCATAGAAACAAAAAAACCAGACGCAATTCATGATGCACGAGAAAGGAATAAGGACCATAGTGACTTCTCCGTCGTCTTTCATTTTCGACATTTTAAATATACTTATTCCCACGTGATTGCCTCCGCAATTACCAAGGTTACACGTATGCTGCATGGTTCTCGTCAATATTTCACGTAAAGTATAATTATAATATATCAAAGTTGAAGTGATGCATCTCCATATAAAAACCATTGGAACAATCAATACTTATTCGAGCTCGTCGCTAAACCAACCTCGGCCAAAACGGATATCAGTGCGGCAAACACCCTTTAAAAATAAGGGGCATTAAGTGCAACGTCATCTTATTTTATTATTGAAAATGTTGTATGTGTCTCTGGAACTGTCAACACCCTTAAGGGTGTAAACTTTCTGAGTGTGTAGCAAAGAAGCGGTCTGTATCGAGGACACGCACTTCTCACTTTTTTAGGCATGCACAAATAGTGGATTTCGAGTTGGAAGCGATTTCGAAATGAATAGTTTTTTTAGCCGAATATTTTCGAATTTAATATCAAATACTTTCTGTGAGTCTTTCTCTACCGTGAACCATGCTAAAACTAACATTCAGCTGAACTCAAGAAGGTTGCTTCCAACCTTCCAGCCGTCCTCTTCTAGTGTTAGTTAACTTCAATGTAACTCTATACCCGAACTAGGATATGAAAATGACATCTTTGTTCCAGCTGTCTCAAGCGAGGGGATATTTCAATATTCTGGCTGCATGCAAATACTTTCTTTTATATATGACCACAAAAAAAAAAAAAAAAAAAAAAAAAAAACACGGACGAATGATAAACGAAGGCTGTTTAAAGATCGCTGTCTAACATACTATTCCATAATCAAGGCGGGTAAGCCCCGTTGAGTGCGCTCCTCGCCAAGCACCTTTGCACTCCGGAGAAGCAATACCCGCGATGCTTGCGAGCTCCACCGGGTGTGTCTTCCCCGCTGCGCAAAGGTGCTATGTGAGGAGCGGGTTCAAGGGGGCTAACCTGCCAGGATAAGAACTTCGAAAAGTACGAATATCGCAATTCACCTCGAAGCCAATATCGAATAGCGCATTATTTGCAACAATTCGAAGATTCGAATATTCAACGAACATAATCTTATTTCCTAGTGTTTATCTTCAGTTAAACTGTTATCCGCAATGCGATCATTGCACAAAGAAAATTTAAAAAAAGCCTTTCTGTTCTTTTCCAATATAGGTAAAAGTTTGGACTCCATATGAGAGTCGGTTTGTTGTAGTTTCTAAGGTTTTTTTTTATATACGCCTTCATTTCTGTTCACTCTCCAACCAAACCAGATAATGATGCATCCACTATACAATTCGAAGACAATTACCTACGACTATGCGATCCTCAAGCTGAACAAAACCCTCGACTTCAATGGCCAGGAGAAGCATTTGATGCCCATCTGTCTTCCCACCTTAAACCAGAACTTTGATGGACAGATCTGCACCGCCAGTGGATGGGGACTTACCAAAGACAGTAAGCGAATATCCGTTAAACTCGTACATTCAAGCTGCGTCTTTAACAAAATTGACGCACACAAAGATGTCTAAATATTTCGTATTAGTTCTGAACTAGATGGGTAGACGTGGATTTCGCCTGGTTTGTTAAAATGCCTCGCCATTAAAGATGTTTATGAGTGTTGTTTTTTAATGAGTATGGCATTGCCTAAAAAAACACTGGCCCACTCAGAGGGTAATTTAAATACCTGTATAGGTCACAAAATTGATCACCAAATAAACTTTTGCTCCTAATATAAATATTTTACTTTTTTATAAGCGCCGACACACTGAGGGAGGGGGGAGAGGAGGGTGTGTGGGGACGTCAAAACGCCGAGCTCTGGTTGGAATGATGAACCAAGCCAAGCTAGTAAAAACTAAAAAAAAATTGGTATTACAAAGACTCGAGTCGCACTGAAGGAAGCGTAATAAAATATTTTGGAAGATTGCTAAAACCAAGTCCCAGCTTGGCGACTACTGCGGGAAAGCTCGGCACGTATGTTCTCGACCGGGGGAGGTAGGCGCCCATCGGCGACCCCTTGCCGTTCACGAAGTTGTTGAACGCGTCTGAGGATATGTCGGCTTAAAGACGTTCTCAGGTATATGAACCAGGTGGCTCGAATAGGTACGTAGTCGTGAAGATACGCCCACGATACCTTCGGCAGCTTTGTCATTTCTTCGAGGAACAAGTGCTCTTTCTTTTCGCCCAAGGAATCAAGAAGACATGTCGATCCTGTTTAAGCAAATTTCAGGAGGTACCGCAGTTAGTCCTGGGCGGTGAAACTATTAAAGTACGCGCTACTCACTGTGAGTCCTCCAAAAACAAACACAAACAATAGCAAACCGCAGAAGCAACATGCTTCCCCAGGAAGTTCGGTTAGGTCTGTTTTGGTTACCTCCACACACCCTGTATAGAAGACGGACGCAAGCGATGGCGGATGCTAGCGCGCCGCTTTTATGGGAGCCTCTTACGGACATTTCAGGCTGTCCAAGGGTGTGTTCTAATAGCAGACGATGCCGCACGCTGCTGCGCATCTGCTCGCACGGCTAGTAGGTGATGTCAGGCGGAAGACTAAACGCACCGGACGTCGCAAAAGGGAGATATTAGGCTTCCGTACGTGTTCGGCCGAGAAGCCGAGAAAATTCAATGGTAATGGTCGGGGCCACCTTTCTGTGGGTGAAGACTAGAGCGGGTGGTGACCTCCACCTGTATTCTATATCCGGGCTTAAATATTGCGCTAAAATCCTTTTTCTTCCATAGAAACCTTTTATTTATAACGCACATGACATACCTCTAGGTACTTCAAAAATGTGTCAATGCTCTTCTTAGTGTTTCACTAAACTAATCCTTGAAATAGATATTTCTATAAACCACTGAATTTAAAAAAAAACTGCCTCTTATTAATATTTTGGATAGGTGGATTTAGTAGAGAAGCAACATCCTGCAATAGCTGGAAGTTGGAACCTCAGACGTTATGAAGAAACGAGGCTATGACTTTCCATTTCCCAAATGCTTAGTGCGTTTGGTGATATCCAATGCGTTGTAATAAAGAATGCACTGAACGTATGGCCCAATATCGTTCTTTAATTCACACCAGCATTGATACCTACCTGGTATCCTGGATTTTTTAGACCTATGAGAAAATTCGCGAGAATTTTCTCATAGGCCGTTGATGGTGAAAACGCTCTAAGTCCTGTTGCCGTGGTCGTAGAGAGCACGCCATTCACGGAGAGGTGTGTCGTCAGGTCGATGAGGCGTCGTGAATGAATGTCGACGGCCAGTTTGTAGAAGTTGAGAAAGTCCGCTCCCAGGATAGCCTGCTTGATGTCGGCGACGATGAACAGCCACCGGAATGTGCGGCGCAGTCCAAGGTTGATTGTGAGGGACCGCTGACCGTAGGTGGCGATAGGTGAGTTGTTGATCGCTTGGAGCGGGGAGGTCTTTTGATTGCGTTGTCGGTCCCAAAGAGAGGCCGGTAGAACGCTGACCTCGGCTCCTGTGTCGACAAGGAAGCGATGGCCAGCCACCTTGTCAACTACATAAAAGAGGCGGCTTTCCTGTCGACTGGTATCACTTGCCGCCGTCAGTGCCCGGTCCTCGTAGTTTCCCACCGAAGAGCAGGGTTGGCTGCACTTGCGGGCATCGTTGCCGAAGGTACGGTGGTACCAACAGACGCCCGAGCCCGAGCCAACTTGACTGCTGTTTGAGAAGGCGGAGCGCTCTACTGAGTTTGAGTGGGAGCGCAGGCTTTGGCGGGAGTGTGACCGTTGTTCACGACGTCGTGACAAGGGTGCGAGGTTGGCAAGCTGACGACTTATGGTCTCGACATGGTCCTCAAGACGACAAAGACTGGAATCTACTGATGTTGTTGTGGGCGTTCTATTGGCGACAGCGCTGATGCCAGCGGCCCGCGAGTAGTCGGCGACGCGGTCGGCAAGCTCAGCGAGCTTTTCGAGCGACATGTCTTCCGCGGCCGCCAGAACCGGAACCATGGTCGATGGGAGCCGTTGTAAAAACAACTCACGCAGGAGGTGGTTGTTAGGGTCTTGGTTCTGGGTTCCCAGCAGCTGACGCATGCGATGGAGAAGCTGGGATGGGCGTCTGTCACCGAGCTCCTCGGTGTTGAGGAGTTGTTGAAGTCTGCTGCGCTCCGACTCGGTCTTGCGGTCAAGGATGGCGGCCTTCAGTTGGTCGAAGGGGTTGACCGGATCCGGAGCGGCGAGAATGTCGGCTAGCTCCTCGGCGACGTCGGCTGGCAAGGAGGACACGATGTGAAGGTACTGCGTCTCCTGGCTGGTGATGTGCCGGAGACGGAACTGGGCCTCAACTTGCATGAGCCATACGATCGGATTTTTCGGCCAAAATGGTGGTAGCCGAAAATTCTGGACCGCTGCCAAGGTAGACTGGAGGGCGTCGCCGTCAGGAGCGTTGGACGCGCCGGAATGAGCCATGAAGCAGCAGACCTTGAAGGAGCGAGTTCGATTCCGGGTCACCAAATCTGTTGGGAGCTGGGACGAAAGGAACCAGCTCGGACAGCGTTTTGGATTCGAACTGTTTTAATCGCTCGCGCTGCAGAGGCAGCTGAACCTCGTCGTCGTCGTTCATGGCGAGGCTGGCTTTGAGTGTCGCTACACCCCTTTCGTTTGCCCCTACGTCCAGACGCAGCCGACGCTACAAGCTGATGGGACAAAGCAGACAGCGTCAAAAGTGCACCATCATGATGTTCGTTACGTTGTTGTACGTATTCTGTCATCGCTAAACCAATCACAAAGAGAAATATCTTGTGACCTGCGCTTTTCATGATGCTAGATTGGTCCCACTACCTCGTAGCATTCGCTGCATCTAGACAAGCGGCCAACTCAATTCTCTAATGTCACGCCACTACGGTGGCGCTTGTGTCGCCACTGCGCATGCGCAGATGCTTCGCCTCAGGCGAATGTGGTCACTGCGCACGCGCAGTGCCCACAACCCGTCCGGGCCAACTCGAACTTGTTTGTAAACAGTGTGTTGGTCGATAGACACATCCGACTCCTTTGTCGCGTTCTTTTTTTTTCGTTTATTTTTTAGATTTAATATATATAACTTAATTTGTGCAATTAAACCAAAAGATTTTAATGACAAGTTACAACTCCGATGAAGTTTACACTGGATTCAACCAAAAGCTGTAGCATAGGACTTTTTTATATTTAACCTTCTAAACAAATGTTTGTATCAGGTAATGAGATGGAAGTCGTTGTTAATTTAGAGGCATGTGGTTAAATGTATATATTTCTTATTCGGCAAATAACGCGTGTTATTTTTTTACTTCGTCGCGCAACCTGCAGGGTCCCAAGGGGGAAGCACCGCGAATCCCGATCTGCTGAAAGTAGATTTGCCCATCGTGTCATACGATGAATGTAGTAGGGACTACAGAGGCATTAACCAAGTCGACAGAAACACGATGATTTGCGCGGGACTCAAAGAAGGCGGAAAAGCGACCTGCCAGGTAAGCGATCAAGTGTTCGAAAGAACTAATAGCACCCGTCGTATTAATTATTTTCTTAATCGTCGCCCTTTCTTTTCTTTTTCTTTTTCTTTTTTTGAGGGGGGCGGGGGGAGGGGGGAGCAGGATTGAAAAATGTCATAACGCGATCTCTTATTTTTTGTGACATATTCAAAGGACCGTTGATATTAATTTTCAGGGCGATTCCGGAGGACCCCTTCAATGTGCCAGGCGTGACGGCCGCTACGTGCTGGCCGGATTGACATCGTGGGGGACAACATGCGCCGCCCCAAATCAGCCGTCAGTCTTCGCGAGGGTCTCAACTCGGTTGTTTTGGATTTGGCTAAATGCTGGAGCGACTCCGTAATGGGCCCGACCTTCGCTGCACGTCGTACACACTACTACGTCATGGGTAGTGTTTCAAGTAAACCCGGAAACAGCTAATACACAGCCTTCAAGGCCTGCACAACTCTATAGACGGCAAGACGACGAGGGTTAACTCATAGAAGTTTAATTTCTGCTGTGTTGGATTCACAAAACGGCTCCTGACACTTTAAATTTTATCAAATATTTATCGACATGTCTATCCCTGACTTTGAACGATTTTACTCTGTCCGATCGAAAACGTTAGAGGCGGCTTTTTTATCCGCATAAACAAACACGCATTGCAGGCATGCAATGCAGCTGAGACTCGGTGAGAATATGAAGCTGGCGAGTTGGCAATAGAATGCGAAAGTTTGATAATATGGCGTTACCTGGATCAAAGACACACAAACAGAATTCATTATGAGCCGACATCCACCAAAGCCAAATGTTCATCAAACCAAGACAACATTGTGGGGCCTGTAGTATTTATCTCAGTAAGAAAGAAACTCACTAGCAAGAAAGAACATCTTGTTTTCCTTCATGCTGACA